CCCCAGTGGTTGTCATTTGCAAGATAGAGGTGACGGGATGCTGTGAGACTGAGCCACTGCTAACAGGGGGGCAGAGATATAGAAGTGAAAGGCATAGCTTTTATAAAAAAACAAACAAACAAAAAAAAACAAAACAGTGTTATCTACGTTTTCTGGTGGCCGAGCTGGAAGTGTTCTTCCTAAGTGTCTAGAAGTGCGAACAGCCAGGTTTGCAGTGCTGGGACCACTCAGGTCTGGCTGTTGCCTGACAACTGTAATGCTTCCCCAGGGAAAAGATCTCCACACAAGTGTCCCTGAGGTAGTATCTGTTGCACCATACACTCCAGAGGACCTGGTAGGAGCTGGCAGCTGGAGAAGGCCACAGGCAACTCCTAGGCACAGACCACACCACAAGTAGTCAAGATGCTCTAACTAAAGCAGGCTGTCAAATCCTTCACGTCCAGTGCTTAACTGACATGATTCCCTGTCCGCTTGGTGTCTCAGAAGTGGGGGGCTTGCCACACGGCCTTCATACACTAGGGCTGTGTCTGTTGCGAGACCCTGTTCATAACATCGCATGTCCCAGACCTAAAGTTGATTGGGAAGCCTGATTAATATCAAGTTGACGAGGGCTTCAAGGCAAAACTATGATATCTTTGAATTGTCTCCTTTCTTCCTCTTTGGGAAACACACTTCCCCCTCACAAACAGGCCTTTCTCGGGGAGCCTCTCTGGGTGCGCCTGGGACCTGCCAAGGGGAAGAGGTGAGCTGAGAGAGAGTGAGCAGAAACAATGCTATAATCAGGCTCTCCGCTTTATTTTAGAAACATCCTGCAGAGATGGCGTCCTCCTGTCACCTTCCTTGTGGGAAAAGTTACTGTGAAGTGTTGAGCTCAGCTATTTATATCTCTACTGATAGTCTCGCCTGTCTTTCTATAGCAAGGGAAACCAGTAGATTCCTAGCAACCCCTGGGGAAATAGGCTTATACTGAGAAGAGAATTGTGTAGAGAAAACATTCACATGGCAGGAACAGCCTGCCTGCCTCTTTGGTGTGAATTTCCCAGCTGCTCCCCGAAGCCATGGCTAGTGTGACCAGAACCAGCGCATCTGCCAGAGCAAGAAGCAGTGATGCGAAATGCCTGCCTGTCATCCCGACCATGTGGCATCATAAACAGGAAGGGCAAAAATGTTCTGAGAGCTACAAAAACTTATCCTCTCACCCAAGAAGTTAACACAAAGGAGAAAAAAAAAAAAAGATAGGAAGTAGCAGCAATGCATTTGCAAGCCAGCCTGGCATACTAGATGGTGCTGTCTCTGCAGGGGTATTTTTATCTTGGAATTCGGCAGTCATGAGGCCTGGAGCTGTGTGGATTCCACGCCTGGTCTGTGGCCTTGATACTTGGTTTTCCCCAGCTTTAATAGCGTTCCAGGTGATGATTAAGCTGGAATGGCCACGTTGTTGGGTTTGTGCCGGGCAAAGCTGATCTTTGTCACATACACATTTGCTGTTGCCAAGGTCTCATGACTGCGCACAACTTCTCTGTTGACCCAGCAGAAAGTTACTACGCAAAGGCACAGCAGTGCAATGGCACAGCCCAAGGGTCTGCAGGAGTATGCACAACACTCCTGTCAGGACGTTCTGCTATCAGCTGCTGAGACCCTGCAAAGATACCAGAGGGTTTTTTTATTTTTTTGCTGAGTCACACCAGAGTGAGACCAGATTCATGCAATTAAGTCCAAACGAAGAAAATAAAAGGTCACAGATGCTCCCATGCTGGGAGGTAAAACCATATGGGAGTCACAGTGGTCTGTGAAAGAGGAAAAGGAACTATATGGAAAATTCCCAAGAATAGTAAAGCCCTGAGGAGAAAGGTTAAGCCAGAGAAAGTCCTGCAGAGGCAGGGAAAGCTGTCAGGAGGTGATAACCATACTTCTTTGCTTGCTGGCAACAGACAGCTAGATGCTTTCTTCTGTTGCTTTAGAAAGCTCTTAGATTGGCACTGGCAGAACAACTCACTAATAAGTAAAGAACAGCTAAGCCACATATACAGCACTGAGAGGGAAACAACCTTCTCCTGGTATCAGAAACTCACCCTCCCTTTCCACCTACCTCCTCGCAGCTGCCACCTGGCTCTCTGTTGGACTGTAAGCAGGCATAGGAGGACATATTTGGCTCTCTGGGTAGCACTTGCTTCTCAGACAACAGCTCTTCATTTCATCAGCCTATGCAGGGCAGCAGCCACCAGGAAAGAAGAGGGAATGGCCCTAAAATCCAGTCTAAGCCCTACAGCTGTCAATCTTGGACCATTCTGACACACCTTCTCTTAAAGAAAATTACACATGTGTGAGTCAGGTAAATTAGTTACTCTAATGCCCACTGTCATTTTTTATTTCTGGACTGCTCTTGCATTTTAGTTTTTTAACTTCATGTTCTATGCCCTTCAATTTTACTACCTGCACGTGCCCAGTGTAACAGCCTTCCCCGAACAAAACAAGCCACAGTACCACTCCAAACGGTACCTGCATTAGGTAAAACCCATCTGAAGACAAACTTGGTCTGCAATTCTAAACATACACAGCAGCACAGAAAAGTCAGTGTTGCTGCAAGGGAGAACACTGTTCATTTTTACTCTAATGAGCAAAGTGAATCAAGAAAAGGCAACCAGTCAACTAGCAAGCGCAGGAGCCACAGGGACACACCTGCAAACAACAGGTGCTCACATAGAAAAATGGAAATATTGATCATGTATTGATCTGTGGCAACAGAGGGAATATTCCACACGTGCAGCAAGTGTCCAGCTCATTGGACAAACCAGTACAGAAAACTCAGACTGCCATGACAGCAGTCTGCAAGGAACTATGTGCTGATTCTAGTAATAGAGTACAGGTAACTGTCTTTACATATTGCTCATTGCTGATCTATCTTCCTATATTTAATCCTTTGACTTCTCCAGGTGCTCACAGGAAAAATCATGATGCTAATTTATCCAGAATGTAGTAACTACAGCAAAGCCAGGAAGTTCAGAAGACAGGAAGGACCTCCAGGTTCACCATTTTTACCAGTGCAGTTAAAGGGAGAGTCTAAAAGATTAGATGATTTTCCAAAATGATTAAATAGTTTTCCGTGTTACTGCTTCCCTGGTTCTGGACTGGCAGCAGATGAAACAGCTTCTATATAACTCCAAGCAGGAACTGGGATCTACATTAGCATTATTGCAGCATCCCTGCCAGAAAAGAGCCATATCCAAGCTTTTGCTTCCTGGTGTGCCCTTTCTCCATTCTCAACATGCAGAGGAGGCAGCAAATGAGCATCTCTTCTCTCCCTACCTGGGAGGAATTCTTGGCTTTCATCAGGGCAGCAATCGGTAGCAACAGGAGCTTAAGGATTCAACTTTAGGTGGTATAAAGTGTGTGCACTGCTATATTGAATTGTATCAGTTACGTACCTGGCAGCGAGGGGAGATTTGTTCCCACAACAATTGCATCTCTGTGTTTTCCAGCTTCTGCACACAGGAAATCTCAATATTGCTGCAGTAAATTTTCAGCATTTAGCAGTGTCTGCTCTCCACAGCCATTCTTTGCACAATAAAAACAATTGGCTCTTAAAATCAAGACAAGGGACAATAAAGAAGGAGAGTTAACACTTCTGGTCCCTACAGCTTGAGGGTTGACTTTGTCCAGTGGCTTTTGATATTTCATTTTGACAATTATTAAGCTTTTCATTTATTTATTAAGAGAGCATTTTCAAAAAGAGTGGTTGTGGGAGAGCATTATCTCCAAGGTAGTATTGTGCACTTTATAGCACCTAGCCCTTGCTATAGGTTGATGCACAGGGGAGAGCTTCACAGTGCCCCGGGAAGCTAAGTAAGGTGAGTGTAACTGAATCAAATGCTCTCTCTTGCGCTCCCACAGAGCCACACGAAGGATGGATTAAACCCATCAGTCTCTTTTTATCCAGAGGGTTAAGTGACTCGGCCAGAAGCAATCTGTCAGAGTCAGAAACAAAATGGAAGCAGGCTCTGCTGCATCCTGAAATTGCAGTCTTACTACCAGCCCATCTCTTCAGACCACCTCCTGAACAGCAGTTCCCAACAGCTCTTAGTCCCTTGGAGGTATTTCTTGAGAGGCGTTCCAAGGGAGATTTTTTTTTGATTGTTTGTTTGCTTGTGCAGTTGATCTGAGAGTTTTATTTGAGACCTTAAGAAAAGGGGAGGAAACAAAACTCACCATTTAGATTTTGCAGCAGTTCCTTCTTCAGTGAGACAGGGATGGCAGCAGAGTTAAGTTTATAAGATGGGCACAGCTGGCTGAAGCCTTTGCTGCTCCCCAAAGTGTTCGCAACTTGACTGCAGCACTTGGATTCAGCAACATCGCAAAACCAAACCAAAACCCATGGGTGAGGGATGGGTGGGCAGCAGGAAAGCTGTCTGTGCAGTTCTTTTAGTGCTAGCACCCAGCTCAAAAATGAAGCCTAATGCTGTGGGCACTTCACGTCCCATATGTCTGTGCAGATAATACCACTCAAAGTCACTGGGAACTGCAGACATATAAAAGGCCCAAGGCACTGCTCAGCCCAACCTGTAGAGTCCAGTCTTATCTCCCAGAGGATCAGTCCATTTAAGGACTCCCCAAAGTACAGTTTGCAGACAGATGAATATTGGTTTAACTACACAGTCCACTGAGGACTGAATATGCTGACCACAGTGAAAGGATTTCCTGAACCAAGAAGAATATCTGGCTCATCCTCAAAAAACTTATAAGCCCATTTAACAGATTGTAGTTGGAATGTGAAAAAGGGACATTTTTTGCTTCAGTAGTTGAACAAAAAAAAAGTTTTCAATGGTTATGAAACTAGTTTTCAGCAAGCCAGAATTTGTTTATTTCGGCTTAAAAAGAAAAAAAAAAACACTCTCATTTGCATTGGCACATACTAAGCCATTTTACTCTAGAGACTCATGGTACGAAAATTTCCTAACCTTCCTTAGAACCACTTTCTCTCTTCTGTCCTTTTTCTCCCACAGAGGCTGTGCCTGATTCTCCCTTCAAGGCTTCTCACCCTTCCTGGTGAGCAAAAATGGGGGACTGGAGTTTCCTGGGAGAGTTCCTCGAGGAGGTTCACAAACACTCCACAGTGGTGGGGAAAGTCTGGCTGACCGTTCTCTTCATCTTTCGGATGCTGGTGCTTGGTACAGCAGCCGAGTCCTCATGGGGCGACGAGCAGTCCGACTTCATGTGTGATACCCAGCAGCCTGGTTGTGAGAATGTCTGCTATGACAAGGCTTTCCCCATCTCCCACGTCCGGTTTTGGGTCCTCCAGATCATCTTTGTCTCCACTCCATCTCTGGTGTACATGGGCCACGCAATGCACACAGTGCGCATGGAAGAGAAGAGGAAGATGAAGGAAGCAGAAATAGAGGCCCGGGAGATGAAAAGCAGCGGTGACACATACTACCAGCAGAAGTGCTCCGTGGCAGAAAAGGCTGAGCTCTCTTGCTGGGATGAATCAGGAGGCAAAATTATACTTAGGGGCAGTTTGCTGAACACCTACGTCTACAGCATTTTGATTCGCACTGCCATGGAAGTGGCCTTCATTGTGGGACAGTACATCTTGTACGGGATCTTCCTGGAGACCCTATACATTTGCCAGCGGGCCCCTTGCCCCCATCCAGTCAACTGCTACGTTTCCCGGCCCACTGAGAAGAACGTGTTCATTGTCTTCATGCTGGCAGTGGCCGTGCTCTCTCTGTTCCTCAGCCTGGCTGAGCTGTACCACTTGGGCTGGAAAAAAGCCAAAGAGAAGTGCTCTCGGGCTTACAAACCCAGCCCCAGCACAGCCCCTGGCAGACTGGAGTCTGCCCCACAAGTAGAGAGGGCCCAGATGTACACTCCCCCTCCAGATTTTAATCAATGCTTGGCAAGTCCCAATGGGAAGTTCATCAGCCCCTTCAGCAATAAGATGGCTTCACAGCAGAACACTGCCAACTTCGCCACCGAGAGGGTCCACAGTCAGGAGGACGCCACCAGCGAGGGGCCCTTCATTAAGTCCAGCTACGCGGAGAGCCCCGAGGTGGCCAATGAGTGCGCAGCGCCTGTCTTCCCCGAGAGCTACTTCAATGAGAAGCGCCGACTCAGCAAGACCAGCCGTGCCAGCAGTAAGGCCAGGTCGGATGATCTGTCTGTGTGACCTGTCCCTGGGAGGGATGAGGAACAGTCTTAGCGCTTAGCAAACTTCTACAAGATGGACTCCAGACTTTCGCCATTAACCTCTCTTTTAGCACCCTCCTGCTCCTTTTCAGTGAACATCATTGTCACATTGCAGGAAGCATCCCTCACAGCTTAAGACAGAGGCAGCCACAGGGGCACACACACCTGGAGGCTGAAGAGAGGCACCCATCCTGATGAAAATACAGTCAAAAAGGGCCATGTTCACATCTCATGGGACCCACGGGGATTGGGGACTTCCTGTCCTTAGCTGGTAGAACTGGCTGTTAGATTCACTCAAGCATAGGGTCCGTCATCCACTGCGACACTATATTCAGCAGACTGGACCTCAACCCACCTGCATCTTCTTTGGTGTCATTTTAACATTTGCTGCATTGGCTCGGCAATTATACAAAGTTGATGCTTCTCTCACCTGCAGGGAACAGAAACACATTAGTAGGCTTTCTAAAAGAAAGACTTTCTCCTCTGCTTTGTTGTCTTTCTAAGACTCCCTTTCTCTTCTTGAGCCCAGATATTTTATAGCAGTTTACCCTTTCTCTTCTTGAGCCCAGCAGTTTACTGATACAGTAAATCCTACTTGAATTTTTGTATTGTGTATATAACCCATATGTGTATTTTCCCGTAGGTAAGAAAAGTCCATGAGCCCCCAAACACCATTGCCTTGTGTCCAACTTTGAAATCCCTTTCTCATTCCTACTTCAGAAAAGCAGATGGGTCCCAGGAGCTCTGGGATATTGATTAGGTGACCAGCTGATGGAGTCTATGGAATTTTCCCGATAAATTTATATGATCAATTCTAAGCAAGACATCCGTTAATAGAAATAGACATTCTCCTGTGAAAATATACATTCTATTAGCAAAAAGAAAGGAGGACTTATCATGTGGAAACAAAATGATTTTCCCCCCTTTTAAATTGCATCTTTCAAACAACCTGAATGCTGCTGAAAAGGTGCTACCAGATGCCAGCTTGGGAGAAAAAGCCATCTTCCGTTTATCTGCAGAAGAGGTACAGCCTGTGTCGTCTCCTCACTGCCCTGCCAAAACACTTCAGCATCATTTGCAAGGAGCAAGAGTCCTCTCCAGGCCCCGCATGACATTCAGCTCTCGGCTGCTCTCTGAGACCTGTCAGCCAGTGCAAGCCATGATATTTGTGCTTGCGACAGGTCCTAGTTCTGCCATTGGGTCCACGCCATCCCCAGTGCACAGGCCTAAGGAACCAGCCATGGGCCTGCACTGTAGCCATGCAGAGCAGCTCTTGGAGGCCAGCACTGAGTGAGTGAGTCCGGTGGATGAGACCTGTCGGCTGCTCTCACTCCAGATATGTTTCCTCACCGCAGAGCTCACATTCACCTTTTACAGAGACACGCTACCAGATCCAAGCTGCTCCCTTTTGTTTACCCTGCACTGCCCTTTCAGAACTGGGCCACAGCTTCCCAGCACTGGACTGTGTGAGCATATGGCCTGGGACCAGCTTATAAGAGGGCTGAGCCATTCCCTCTCATAGGGGCAGTTGAAAGGGACTGTGAACACTTGCTCCTGACATGGCGTTAGGTTTGGTACAGTTCCCTGTACACACACATGCATTGCCACTCACAGAGCAGAGTAACGTTTTCTTTTGTTTGTAAGGTGTTTTTCATACATGTATTTTTTAATCCTGAAATGACCTGTGTGCTCTTAATGTGAGATTGTGGTCAATTGTTCCTAGGTTTGTCCTAATAAAGTTCTAACTTCAACTCTTGTTGGCGTTTCGCCTCTCGTGTGGCTGAGAATGAGCTGCTAGCACTAGTCAGACTGCCCGCCAGCCTCAGCTGTGCAGAGATCACAGAAATTTCCTTCGCCCAGAGTGGCAGGAATGAGGGGAGAGCTTGGCCAAGGGGATAAATAATAAACATGGAGAATGATTGATTGACTGACTGGTCTGCAAGCAGAAACCCCCTGCAGCTCCCCTGCCTGTCTTTGCCTTACCAAGGAAGAATGTACGAAGCTGTACGGAGAGCAGCACCGCTTCCAGTGGCAATGAAATACTCGCCGCGCGTCTCCCTTAGCGCACTGCCGTACCCAGGAAGCCAGCTGGGAGGTGAGGCCAGCAGAGCAGGAAAAGGTTAGAAGAACCCGTACCCTGAGCATCCAATCTTTCATCCACCAAAGTCAGAAAAGTAACCTGCCTTGAAAGTCTTTTTAGGAGGTGAGGTCCAGGGAGGCAGAGTGCGCTATTAACCACCTCTGCAAAGGGTTCCTGCAGGAACTGCATCTTAAGGCGCAGTTGTTCCGCCCAAAGATGACCCTTTCTCTCACCAGCTGATGCCTCTCCTTCCTATACCCAATCTGATGCTCATCTTTGTTCCCTCTTTCTGGCTTTCACAGGCCCCCTTCTCCTGACCTTGAATCATCCTGTCCACCCACAGGAAGTGCCTGTCCTCCCTCTCACCACATAATCTCCCATCCCATGGGACTCTGCAAGCTGGGAAGGAGGAGAGAGGTAAAGGACTGGCTCCCAGCAATAAGCCTAAGAGAGGCCATAAAAGAGTGAAATCAGAATATGATGAATCACCAGAACAAGGACCTTTAACCATATGAGAAACTGCAGGGACACTTTAAGATCACTTGGGGGATTTCAGCCCAGATGGGAGGATGCCACCTCAGCACCCACAGCCACACCAAGCAGCACGGAGGCAGGATTAATCCTAGCCTTTGAACTGGCATGTGTTCAGCCCTGAGCGTGTGTGTCCCTTAGGATACAGCCTTTCTGGGAGAAATACGCAATGAATAAGTCAGCAGCTTATTAATACATATTCATAGCTGAGTTTTCCTTGGAAAGATTCTATGCAAGCACTAGCCCAGGCCTTGTTAATAAACTGTTCTTGGTTTATGGCAAGCAGTGGCCCAAACTATAAAACTCTATGCTGTGGGCACTCAGAGGTGTAGCATCTCTACTGGAGAGTAAGGGTATGGCTGAATAATGAGGATGTGGATTTTCTCCACTTCATTTCAGTCCTGTAGAATCTAAACATGTTCATAGGTGGGGTTTTGCTGATTTTTGAGACCACAGGAAAACAACCATCTCTCTGTGTCCCAGACTAGAGCCACATGCATCAAAGCACATAGTCCCTCCTCTGCCACTCTTTTCTCAAAGCCCCACTGGTTCTGTCTTCGACATATATGAAGTAGGGTGTATTTGATGGATGGCTGTTTGCACTGATGACAGACCATAAACTTAGGATCCTTGGAATCCACTGTCAAGGCCGCCTGGGCTATCGTACCACAATGGGAACATATTTACTTCAGCCAGCAAACCTCTATTCACTGACCTGTCATTTCAGACAGATTTTATATTTATTACTTTGTACCAGATGGATGGATGGACAATCTTATAGCTATGAGCTAAATAAATATTATTTATTAAATTCAGCCCTTGAATAGGCACTCAATCTCTAAGCACAAGCATTATGAAGACCATATGCTGGGGAGGCAGAAAGAGAACATGGGAGAATGTTTCTGAACTTGCCCCTCATTTCTTGAGAGTCTTACCTGATGGGGTTAGCTCAGTCTCTGAAAACCCAGAATTTTCCAGAACAGAACTGACATGCAATAGATACCACCGTCTCCAGTCTTCTTCAGTACACCTCACACCATTTCAGCATTCCCTTCTTTAACTGGTGTCTGAAATCCGTCCTGCTCTAAGGCCCTTTATTAATCAGCTGCTGACTCTAAGATAAGAGAGCATGAAAATCTGCATTCATCAAGCTCTTAAAACCAAAATATTTATTCCTATAAAGGGAAAAGTTATATTTAAAAATACACAGAATGCCAAAACCAACAAAGCAAGGAATCAAGACATGCTCATGCCTGGAGTCCCTTTCCTCTCTCAAAACATCATATTAGGACCGTTTAGCAAGCTAAAAGCTAAAAGACAAAACAGGGAGAACCTGAGGGGGTTACTTAAAAGTAATGGCTGATATAAAGCATGCAAATGAAGCAAGTTCTTTCCTCTTTCAGAATATGTCAGCAAGGCAGCACTCAACTAAACTCAGTGCTGACAACATTGAAGACTGCTAGAAGAGAGCAGGCAAAAAAATCCCAGACTATACCACCTCCCCCCAGACACTTCCAGAAAATACCATTGAGGCCAAGGACACAGGAAGATCCAAAAAAGCAGGAAAAATAAAAGGATCAGATGTCCATAGGAATCATCAACATTCTTGGTGGCAATGCAATAGGCGAGGGCGGCTCTGCAGCAGTGCTGAGCGCTCCAGACTGCCGGAGTTGCCCGGCCGGAGCCGTGCAGCCCTCCAGGAGGGCCGGACCTGTGGAAAGACAAGCGGAGTCACTGTCCCCCAGAGAGTCTCCTCTGCCTCTACTCTCTTTCAGCAAGGATGCAGTCACACCGGAGGGATGGCAGGGGTACTTTCAAGCCTGACCTCGACAAGAGAGTCAAGGTATGGCTGGCACATAGGGATTCTCTCATTCTAGGCCCAACAGTAGCTGTCACCATCTTCTGCTTATCCAAGCAGTAAATAAATAAATAAATATACAAATAAGTATCCCCTGTTCTGGGCTCTAATATTACAAAATGAACACCAGGAAAGTGTCAACATTTACCTTCAGCAGTCAAGAGAGGACCAGGCCTCCTCTCTCTTTTCCCAGCACAACTTCCAACAGCCCAAAGGATTTCTGGTAGTTCCTCCCAAATACGGATTACAGCAGGGTATCCTATATTTGACATGCCATTTCTTGGACACACACATGCAACTGTGAATAAAATGGAACATTTCAGCGATTAGGTTACCAACAGCAGAAGCAGCACAGATGAGCTGAGAATAAGGACAGAGGGTATCAGCTTCTTAAGATGCATTTTTCTTTTTGGGTGGGGGGGAAACTACACTTTAAAGTAATAAATTAGTAGCTTTGCTCTTGCCTTAAGTGGTTGTTGCTTATATGTCCTAGATGACCAAAGATCTTTCAGGGGACCACAGGAATTTCCATACCAGGTATATACCTACAACATTGTCATGGAAAACTGATTATAGAAAAAGAAAGATGATCAAATGAGCTTATAATACTCACTCTAAGCAAATAATGCAGAAATGCTTCATTTTTCCTCCAGCGAACATTCGTTTACATATTTTAAAATGAATTTGCCAAGACCACGTTCACATACCACTGCTGGTTTCCCACAGAGCAATTTCAGCAATTAAGTTTGACGAGCAATAGACTTCTCAGAAAGTGAGTGTCAGGCATAGAAACTAA